ACAGACTCGCATCCCCTCGGTCAAGTCGACGCGCCTAACGCACGATACACAAAAACATAGTAGTTTCATGCATATATATGGAATGGTCGCTAAATCAGAGGGACAGATGCATGAGAAGCTTCCGCCAGGCATAACACTTGTTCAAGCTGACGACTTCCAAACCTGGCTCATGGACATCAAAGTCATGGACTCGAATCCCATCTACGAAGGCGAAACATACCGCTTGAAGTTCAGTTTTAGCCCGCAGTATCCTATCGAGGTATTTGATTCCTGCTTCGAGCTAGTCGAATTCGCCTAGCTAGTTGCTAAACTCCCCACTTCATAGGCCCCCGAAGTCGTATTCGTCCGCGATGAAACTCATCCGATACCCTGGCACCCGCATATCTACTCCAACGGCATCATCTGCCTCGACCTGCTAGACCGCTCTGGCTGGTCTCCCGTACACAACGTGGAGAGCGTATGTGTGAGCTTGCAGAGCATGCTCACGAGTAACACGAAGAAGGAAAGACCTCAGGGAGACGATAACTTCGTAAGGTACAACACCCAGAGGCCAAGGGACATCAGCTTTGTGTTCCACGACGAGAAAGTTTGAGACTGTGGCAATTCTGGTTTACATGGCGGGGGTTTTTTTTAGAACAAGGGGCATTGGTGTATTATAGAGTTGGTGTATGGCGTTATTTTTTTAAGGGATATGGAGGCCAGGAAGGGAAAGGACTGGGCGTTACATGATGACGGTTCCGAACATGGAAGCAAAGAAAGCTTGTCATTTGATCAAACCTTCGATGAGGACATAGAAAATCGGTATGCTGAAAACTTTCCATCACAGTAAGAGTTTGATTCCACACTATTCCTTGCTGGTATTATAGCTACCAGAATGAAATCAAATTTTTGATGGATCCGAAGCAATTTAGTCTACTAGTCATGTGTAAGGTTGTTAGCGGTATGTGTATGATTCTCAGTCCGCCTATCTGCTTGAGAGCTTGGACATGGTTTTCTAGACCCAATACCAGAGTGCAACCATAGAGACAAAACGTGGTTTGTGGACATGATGTATCGCAATGTCTGGCCACACTTTTATATCCATATATATGCTACTAATGGCTCAGCTTTGGTGTGATTTTTCTGTTTCGTTAGGACGAAGGCCTCTGGGTCGAGATTCGTGTCTTTCCCAAGTATCTGGAACAAAGAAACGCGATCCAGGTTGCCATTCTGCAACTGTCTCCTGAAGCAGAGTTGGTATTGGAGTCAGCGTCTCCCGCAGAAACAAAAGAAATATGCTCGCTTCGAGAATGGACGGATACCTGGGTCCACCAGCAGAACATGAGTGTCAGCTGCACAGCCTATGTTGTTACCTTCTACAAAGGTACTCGCGCTCTAGGATGTGGAATTTCTCTGCCCGCGAAGGGTACCGTTGTTCTTGGAAACTCGGAATGAATATTCTGCAAAGCCTCGCTCAACTCTTAGCATCTGAGGAAAAAATAAAATAACTCTCTCCGAGACCAACCGAGGTTTGCCTCAAGGTTTTGCTGCCTCCAATTATTTTATTTTCCAAGGTATCGATAAGCGCCGGCGAACAAGTTAACCGAGTGCGCCTAGCGTCGCCCGCCGACACTACGAACGATCCCTGCGAGGCCAATTTTTCTCCGTTCGCTCGCCTTTAAGCAAGCGCAAAAAAGATTCCCAGCCCTTTTTTCCCACCTTCTCTCCAACATCTTCCTGCTCTTCAATTTTACTTCAGGTTGTTCCTTCCACACACACCGCAATCATGAGCGAAGAAGTCTACGAGGGTGCCATCGGCATCGATCTTGGTGCGCAACACTCGCAATATTACCCCACAGTGGCATGTGCTAACCGATATCCCTAGGCACTACCTACTCTTGCGTTGCCAACTACGAGGGCACCAATGTCGAGATCAGTATGCGCCCGCTCAATTCATCCTCATCAAAGCAATCGTCTAACCATGCTTTCCCACAGTTGCCAACGAGCAGGGTAGCTTCACCACTCCCTCGTTCGTGTCCTTCACCTCAGAGGAGCGTCTTATCGGTGAGGCGGCCAAGAACCAGGCTGCTATGAACCCCGAGAACACTGTCTTCGATGTCAAGTGAGTTTTGTCTTTTTCGCAGACATGTTGCACATGCGACCAGTAGACTGACTTTGCCAGGCGTCTCATTGGTCGCCGATTCGAGGACGAGACCGTCACAAAGGACATCAAGTCATGGCCATTCAAGGTCATTGACCAGAACGGCAGCCCTATGGTCGAGGTCGAGTACCTCGGTGAGAAGAAGCAGTTCTCTCCTCAGGAGATCTCTGCCATGGTTCTCGTCAAGGTACGATCTGCGCCCACATACCCTGTTCAGCGGGGCAAATACATACTTTGTGTGGCGAGGCGGAACTAACATACCCCACAGATGAAGGAGGTCGCTGAGACCAAGCTCGGAAAGAAGGTTGAGAAGGCCGTCATCACTGTGCCTGCTTACTTCAACGACAACCAGCGTCAGGCTACCAAGGATGCTGGTGCCATTGCTGGCCTCAACGTTCTCCGTATCATCAACGAGCCCACCGCCGCTGCTATCGCTTACGGTCTTGGTGCCGGTAAATCCGACAAGGAGAGGAACGTCCTCATCTACGATCTTGGTGGTGGTACTTTCGATGTGTCTCTTCTGCACATTCAGGGTGGTGTCTTCACTGTCAAGGCTACTGCTGGAGAGTAAGTCCTCTTTTTTGCTCCACTATACCAACATTTTAGCTAATTAAACACTACAGCACACATTTGGGTGGTCAAGACTTCGATACCAACCTCCTTGATCACTTCAAGAAGGAGTTCACCAAGAAGACCAAGAAGGGTACGTGGAGTGATGAAAAATTTCCTTTCCCCTCAGAAGTCGACTGTGGCAACCACGGTGGCAACGACACCATTTCGAATGGCTCTAAGCCTGCTGTACTTCGATACTCCTACTGACATTCTGTAGACATCAGCGGCGATGCCCGTGCTCTCCGTCGTCTCCGAACTGCTTGCGAGCGTGCCAAGCGTACTCTCTCCAACGCCACTCAGACCACCGTTGAGATCGATTCTCTTTTCGATGGCGAGGACTTCAACGCGAACATCACCCGTGCTCGTTTTGAGGACCTGAACCAGAAGGCCTTCGCTGGCACTCTGGACCCCGTTGCCCAGGTTCTCAAGGACGCCAACATCGGCAAGGACAAGGTCGACGAGATCGTCCTCGTTGGTGGTTCTACCCGTATCCCTAAGATTCAGAAGCTCCTCAGCGACTTCTTCAACGGCAAGAAGCTTGAGAAGAGCATCAACCCCGATGAGGCCGTTGCCTACGGTGCCGCCGTCCAGGCCGGTATCCTTTCTGGAAAGGCTACCTCCGCCGACACCGCTGACCTCCTCCTTCTCGATGTTGTTCCCCTCTCCCTTGGTGTCGCCATGGAGGGTAACATTTTCGCTCCCGTCGTCCCCCGTGGCCAGACTGTTCCTGTGAGTATTTATTCATTCCTGCTTAGAACATGACCTGACCTTTTTTTTCAGACTATCAAGAAGAGGACTTTTACCACTGTTGCCGGTAAGATAATCCTCACTGCCTGTTTCTGACCATGTACTGACTTCTTTAGACAACCAGCAGACCGTCCAGTTCCCTGTCTTCCAGGGTGAGCGTGTCAACTGCGAGGACAACACCTCGCTAGGCGAGTTTACCTTGGCACCAATCCCGCCCATGCGGGCCGGAGAAGCGGTTCTTGAGGTTGTTTTCGAGGTTGATGTCAACGGTATCCTGAAGGTCACTGCCACCGAGAAGACCTCCGGCCGCAGCGCCAACATCACCATCTCCAACGCCGTTGGCAAGCTCTCGTCAACTGACATCGAGAACATGATCAACGACGCCCAGAAGTTCAAGTCCAGCGACGAGGCTTTCAGCAAGAAGTTCGAGTCCAGGCAACAACTCGAGTCCTACATTTCCCGTGTCGAGGAGATGGTCTCTGACCCCACCACTTCCATCCGCCTCAAGCGTGGCCAGAAGGAGAAGATTGAGTCTGCTCTCTCTGATGCCATGGCTCAGCTCGAAGTTGAGGATGCCTCCGCTGAGGACCTGAAGAAGAAGGAGCTCGCGCTCAAGCGCACTGTCACCAAGGCTTTCTCTACCCGATAAGCGCATCATGTACGAGAGGCGCCACATGGGTTGGCGGGTAGGAAGTAAGGGCGCAGGTGCAGGATACCCAGACTGCAAGCTGTGAACGGAGTTTCATCTATTGCGGCTTTTAACGATAGACTTGGTGTGTTTGGTTCCTTCTTCTTTCATGGGTTCCCGTTTCCGGCATTCATGGAACGTGAAAAAAAGTCTTCTTTATGCTTTCACGACGATGCCTGACGAAACGATCGTAACGGATGTTCTGCAAAAGTATGCCTGGCGGTCAACGTCTCTTATGTAGTTCACGAGGTAGATGCACGGAGAGAGAGGAAAGGAAATTGAAATGAATTTATTAAATTTAACCTATGTCCCATCCTTAATTCTTGCTTTTTCATTGTTAAGATATTTATAAGTCTAAATTCCGTCCTTATATCTAAGGATAACTCCTAAAATAAACATCAGTGAATGGCTTAGTTGCGAATAGGCTTGGTTATATATTGTACATCTAAGGATTGAGATGTCCAAGGTAGTGCCAGCATACAAGGCGGACTCTGACCAGTATACAATGGTAAAAGAAAGACAAAATCTCAAGGAATCTTCTTCAGCATTTCATTCGCCGCCACTCCTAGCTGCAATATTAAAAAAAATGAAAACGAAGTTCTTTCCTTGGCGAAATGAGTAAGAACTCTTAGCAGAGATTTTATCTTTGTTTGGTGGAGAGAGAGAGATGCATATGGCATTGAAGTTTCTTACAATAATGTCACATCTACTATAGTAACAATTGAAACTAACAAAAAAGAGGCATTTAGATTGAATCGATCAACCTACTATACGAAACGAGACATGAATTTCTTTCGGCCAACGCTGCATGTTCTACTGCCATGCATAGTGCTCATTGTTCACCCACAATGGTAGCTCTTTGCTAATTCCACCTTGCTCGTCATACCACAGCAAACTGGCAATGTGATCCTCCTCCCGCTCTTTGAAAGCGTATTCCAATCCACTGTCCTTCAGCATACCTAATACCAGTGGCGTTGGGTCCCACAGCTTCACTACGTCGAGCTTCCATTCAGTAGCCTCAGCCTGTGCAGCTTGCAATACGGCCTTCAAAAGCTCAATCTGCGTCTCGTAGACATCCTTTTCTGGTCTCTTGGCAGCGTCCTTGGGAAGTCTTGTTGCAGTTTCATCACCCTCTACGACTAGTCGCTGTATGTACAAAACGTTGCTTGACTTCTCGGCACCGAGGGGACCATAATATCGGTGCAACCATGTCGCCCATACTTGCTTGCCTGGAGATCCTACTATGACTCCCTTTGCAGGTGGCGTTTTCCCGAAGAGATAGTCGGTCGCAAATTGTTCTTTTGCGATGTGCCAACCCATGTGATCTACATCCGGTACGATTGTGAAACGTGCTTTTTTGATCTCATCTGCAGGTACTGACATGTGAGAGCGTACTAGAGCTTCATCTCTCTTGCAGATATCGTCAAGATCGTTCTCCATGATCGCCTTGGCCAGGGGTGGCCATGCAATGGGCTTCGGTGGTAGTTCGACTTGTGAGTTCGTGATGTTCGGAGTCCATCCCAGCTTCGCGTAGTAGTCTTTCCCAATATCGGAGTAAAGTGTGGTTCCAATGCATGGAAACTTATCGGTTTGCCATCTATACAGTTCCTTAATCAACTCTTGCATCATGCGACCGGCGTAACCACGGCGGCGGTACGGTGGTGCGCAGAAGACGCTAGCGATTCCATGTACGATATTATCACTGACTTCTCCTTGTGTGTTACTGGCCAAAGAGTGTTTCCTGAAAGTTTCGCACGAACACAAGATATGTCGTTTGTTTGGGACCGAATCTTTGTGGACGAGAACCCAAGTAGTCATACCTCCATCTCTAGCTAAAGGGACCGTTGTGAGAAAACGAGACTCCTTCAAGTAGAGGGGAGGGGTAAGGGAATCGGCCCATTCAGTGGAAGTGCTGTTCCAGATTGTGGCACATTCATCCTCAGTCGGATGTCGTAGGATGAGATCAGGACTTTTTGAATCGGGCAAATCCTCCTTTGGTAAGACATCCATGGCTATAGAAGTTAAGAAATCTTGTCAGGTGTCTGACTACGGAGCCGATAAACCGTAGGATTATCTCTCTTACCGGAGTCAGCGGACGATGTTGCAGTTGCAACTGTACACGTGGGGGACAGGGCTTTATGTATGGATGGAACTTTATTTGCGCACCAATCTGCGGCTGGTTAAGTATAGACAAACTTGCATGGTTAGCATTAGCCCGAGGTAGTGTTCCAGAGAACTCACGTGACGCTATCGGTACCACATACTTCGCTCTAAGCTCCAACCTTTCATAGTAGCCATATCGCTGTATTACTTTTACACATAAGAAAAGAAGTCTATTCATTTCACTATTTATATTTTATGTATCAAAAGACCTTAAATAATAGTATCTTATGCTAAACATAACTTACTTTGGTAAACTTTGCCCTCTTAACCTCTATTTCCGGTCGTACTAGTTGATATGACATGACTGAGCGAGTTCATGCATCCAGTACAAGCTTGGGTATAGAGTTCGGCAGTATCTTGGCATGGCTTCTTGTAAGTCTCGCTGTATGCAAGAGGAACAATGAGGCTGTAGTTAGTGCTGAACCATCCGTGTCTATCCAAGCACACTGTCATCACTCGATCAATGCCATCAAAAAATCTTGCGGAATGTATTATATTAGGTATCGTAGCTACATAACCGTGTGGAACTCTAATGTGAACAACTCCCAGCTCATAAGTCCAAGAAAGCAGACTCTCATTATGGACTAGCACATAGAGAGCTACTCAGAGAACCGTGGCAGATACCAGTAGAAAACTGTCTACCTGGCAAGAGCTCGTTCAACCACTAATCTCAAAATCTGCTTCTAGTCAGTCCGTGTTTCCTTTCGAGGCCTGATGTGAAGAAGTAGATGGGTATAGCATATTTCAGAATATAAGTTGAATGCACCGGCAAGACCCGTTAAGGCCTCGCCTAAAATAAGAGGTATCAGAAAATAATTTTGGTGGATCATCACTGTGCTGTAGCAGAAAAGAGATGAAAGAATGAACGTACCTTTGTGAGAATATGACCTGTTTCGTGCTGTGTGTTAATAGCGCGCTTCAGCAGAGCGCATCAGCAGAGCAGCATCAACAGCGCCATCAGCATGGAGGTCGTCGGCTGCAACAAAGCACAAAGACGATGTTCTCTGCATGGTGGCTGTTCCAAAGCTGCGAAGTGTGAAAAGATGAGGGTCGACAGACTTTTTGTCTGGCAGCAGGAGCTTTGACGCTAAAACGGCGCACGGTCCACCACACACCTAGCCGAGCCGCGAGAAATTGGTCCTTGGATCGCGAACTTCCAACACGACTTCAAGCCTTCCACACGTCTCCGTACTAATCCACCAGCTCGCCGCCCGGTACATTCATTCAAAATGGGTCGTCTTCACAGCAACGGAAAGGGCATATCAGCCTCCGCCATCCCCTACTCCCGCAACCCCCCTGCGTGGTTGAAGACCACCCCGGAGCAGGTTGTCGACCAGATCTGCAAGCTCGCCAGGAAGGGTGCTACTCCTTCTCAGTAAGCCGAACCCATTACGATAAAGAGATTTTTGGGGGGAATTGCATATACTGACGGGAATTGCAGGATCGGTGAGATCCTCCGTGACTCTCACGGTGTCGCCCAAGTCAAGGTTGTTACCGGCAACAAGATCCTCCGCATTCTCAAGTCGAGCGGTACGATTGCCCTATACACATGAAAAAGCGCACGTCGACACAGCTCTGCTCCCGCGTGAGAGCATCTGCGCGCTATACAAATCTGCATTTGTTGGTCTAGGCTAACATTTTGCGCATAAAGGCCTGAGCCCCGACATCCCAGAGGACCTCTACATGCTTATCAAGAAGGCTGTTGCCGTCCGCAAGCACCTCCAGACCAACCGCAAGGACAGGGACAGCAAGTTCCGCCTCATTCTCATCGAGTCCCGTATCCACCGTGTAAGTTTAGCCGAAGATATAGTTCTTAAAAAAAAGAGACTCGAACTAACAATTCTTAGCTCTCCCGTTACTACAAGACCGTCGGTGCCCTCCCCCCTACCTGGAGGTACGAGAGCGCCACCGCCTCTACCCTCGTCGCATAAGCAGATGTAGGATTGGTGTGGCTGGTAATCGTGATGGAAGACATTTACGTGGAGTTTATGGGCATGGATGCTTGCTTTACGGATACCTAGCAGCATCACGATACGGAATGAATCAAAAAGCATCATCATCTCAAGATGAAATTATACCCAATTGCAATCGAGGTGCCAGAATGTGTGTCGTGTGTGGTGATGAAGTTGATGCTTTTTTTACCTGGGTATCTTTTTCTTATCGTATATGCCGCCTATCTGCCTTGAGCACTGGACGAACGCCAGCTATGCCTGCTTGGTCTCTTCTGCAGTGTACCCCATGGTAACCCTATTGCCACCGTGCTTGCTTCCCATTCCCTTGCTCACGTCCTCGTCATGCACATACCACACGCCTCTATTCCATTTCCCACCCCACACTCTCTCTTTCAAGCCCCCTCAACCTCCGCACTCTTCTGCGCCAAAAACTCACTCAACCACTTCAACGGCTTCTCCGGCTCCTGCGTCGCAAGATGCTTCATCGCCTCGAGCAAGTACGGTGTCACATGCTGATTCAAATACACCCGCGTCGGGCTCCCGTGCGGAATCGGCTGCGTGGGCGCCTGTGCCGTTGGGTACGGCGAGTTGCGCGACGATGCAGGGGCCGTGGCGGGATGTGCTGCTGGGGCGCTAGGCACTGGTGCTGAGGGCGTCGTTGTTGTTGTTGTTTGCGAGGGTGTTGGCGGCTGTGTTTGTGTTGTTGTTGTTGTTGGCTGGGGAGGTGCTTGGGATGGGGGTGAGGGTTCTGCTTGGGGCTACATTGTTGTTTTTTTCAGAGTTAGGAAAGAGAGTACTTCTAGGAGGGAATATGTGTGGAAGGGGAGAGAGGTACCGGTTGGTCGCTTGTAGACTCTGCCATTTCTACGTCTGCGAGTTGCTGCTGCATTTGGGCTTCGCCGTTTAGCAGCGGAGCGTCCATGTCGTGTTCTGGCGCAGGGTTTGGGGATGGTTCGGTCATTTTGCGGGTTTCTTTGTGGTGATTTCTTCAATTAATTGACGCGTAATGGCGCGATTTGGTAGAGTGGACAGAGTGGTTGTTAGTGCTGGGATGTTGTGTGGATTGTTTCTGGAGGGTAGCTCTAAGCTCTGCTGTGACGTTCGGCGATTGCGGGCTGGCCTCGGCGTTTGCCTGAAGGGCTTCTTCCTTCACTTCACATTTAAAAGCACGTCGCCAATTGCTCTTGTCACGTGTAGAAAGACTAGAAGGCCATGTCCGCAAAATAATCTTGTATATCTGACTATCACCAAAACTGATCTAAGTTGCGGATTAAAGAACGCATGCTAAACACCCAAAACGCCGTGCTACAAATTAATGCATTTCTGTCTTCAACTCGTGTTTGCTCAACCGTTGTATTCGTATTTCATGTGCATATTCATATTTCATGTATTTCATCTCCACTTACTCCTCATCATGTAACCAATGCGATGGTCCAACAAAGCATGCAGCGTGCGCAAAAAACAAACAAACATCAAAGTCAAATAACGAACAAGGAAAAAACAACAACAAGGAAATGTTCTCGCGGCGTGACACCCGAAGAAAACGAAACTGCTGGAAATGAATTCATGTCCTTTCGCTAGGTGGGTCTAGCGAGATCGTCGTTCAGCTGCATATGCGACGTTCGTTGAAACGGTCGTTTTCATGTCATTATTCGTAATCACGCTGTTGGTATCCCAAGTTCCGGCGTCGGATACGCTGGTCTTACTTCTCAAGACCCTTGGCCTTTCAAGTCGTGCTGGCTTCGCAGGCTTGTAGGGCGCATTGGTTGAGACGATTGTAGAAGGCCCGTTGTTGGCATGGGTGATCTCACTGCTCGTATCCCAGGTGCCGGAGTCGGAGCCTTCATCAGAAAAACTGTGCTGCTCTTGCTCTCTCTTCAATCTTTCAAAGGGTCCAGGCAGGTGGACTGAAGATGCAGGTCCTCCAAATCCCCTAGGATAAGGGACATTGGTTGACACAGTTGTAGGTGGGGCACGGTGATGTGTCACAACACTATCGGTATCCCATGTGCCAGCGTCAGAGACACTTAGCCTTCTTCGCTCATAAGGCATCCCTGCTGGGTAGGGTATATTGGTTGACACAGTCGTTGGCGCAGCGCGATGAGTTGTAATCTCCGTGTTGGTGTCCCAAGTGCCAGCATCGGAGACGCTAAGTCTTCTTGACAGCTGTGGCGATGTTGGCACGGAAGAATCCTCGTCAGTGGAGAAGCTGGTCGGGTATGGAACATTCGTCGACACAGTCGTAGGTGGGGGGCGGGAACGATGTGTTGTGATCTCAGTATTGGTATCCCAAGTGCCGGCGTCAGAAACACTGAGTCGTCTTATCTGCCGTGGTGAGGGAGGCACATAAGAAACATCAGTCATGGAGGCGTTGGTCGGATACGGAACATTGGTCGATACCGTTGTCGGCGGAGGGCGTTGCGTGAACACACTTTCCGTGTCCCACGTACCAGCATCAGAGACACTCATTCTCCTGGTCTCGCGGCCAAATTCCGTAGGATATGGAATGTTGGTCGAGACAGTGGTTTCAGGGGCTCGTTGAGTAACCTCACTGCTAGTATCCCAAGTAGCGTCATCGGGGATGCTTCTTGCTCGTCGCAGATTCCAGGACACGCCAGTCGGGTAAGGAACATTTGTAGATACAGTCGTAGGCGGCGCAAATCGAGTAACCTCGCTGGCGGTATCCCACGTTCCAGCGTCAGAGATGCTTCTTTGCCTCCTAATCTCCTTTGATTCCCTCTTCACCTCCTTTGAGTCCCGCCTTGTGTCATAGGCGTGTGGGTAGGGAACATTGGTGGAAACTGTTGTAGGTGCGAAATCATTATGCGTGACGACACTGTTCGTATCCCAAGTGCCAGCATCAGAAATGCTCCTCATCTTCCTGATCTCACGAGACTCCCTCTTTGATTCTTTCGAATCCCTGAGGGAATTCGATTCCTTGGTCGAGTCCCTACTGCCACGCTCCTTCCTCCGCTCGCTCTTTTCACTTCGAGTAGAATTCTTGGTGCTTCCATTTGCACTTTGCCCAGTCGCAGGACTGGGGTACAGAGCTTTGACGCCTGCACTTCGACTCTCGTACAAGTAGCGAGCCTTCTCACGCTCGGTTTTATCCGAGCGATCGCTCTTCTCTGTCCGGCTAGTGCGCTCACTCTTGTGGGTGCGCTCACTCTTCTCTGTACGCTCGCTTTTATCCGTTCGCTCACTCTTGTCTGTACGCTCACTCTTGTCTGTGCGCTCTGTATCAGCAGACTTGTGTGTGCGGACACTAGAAGCGTAGGTGCTCCTGCGGCGGATAGATTCAGGTCGAGGAGTAGCAAAGTCATCTAGCTCGTCGTCAATGGCCGAATCGCCAGATCGGCGAGTGTGTGTAGAACGACGGCGTGAGTGTGTGGTCGAGGAAGTGCGTGTCCGTTGAGGCAACAGACTCTCGATTTCGTCTATGGCATCGTAGACTGGAGATACTGTATCTACAGGTGTGGGAGGACAGGTGTCGGGCTCCACATCTTGATATGGGACAGTCTCGTCAAGTGGGGTTCGAGAGAAGATTGGGGGCAAGCCAGCACTTTCAGACAATGTGCGATGGTGTGGAGTTTCCGCAAAAGGCAATGGCACCTCTGGCTTGGATACAGGCTTAGGTGGCGGCGGTGGCGGCTTCCTCTTTGAATTTGGTGTATGTGAAGGAGCCAGACTTTCGACTGGCATGCCAATAATGTTCCTCGGGGACGTAAAGATAGACGTCGGCGGAGGTGGGGGCGGCATGTGTGAGTACGTGGAGAGAGGTGGCTTCACGCCCTTGTCACCCAACGAAGGGCCAGAGAAAAGACTTAGTGCCCGCTTGATGGTCGAAGACTTTTCGGGTTTCTCAGGTTTCTCATTCTTTTCGGTTGGTGAAGTCGGACGTAGCCGTGGGGTAGGTTTCTCAGCCGTGTTCAACTCGGTTTTGGACGGGGAACGAGGAGCGGGGGGGTTTGTTTGCTCGTCTCGGGGAGGGGGGCATGCCTGCGATAGCAAGATGTTAGCCAAGCGTTTCTATGCAATCGTCGTCTCGGGGAAAGTCTGGAGTAGTTCGTGGGCATTGCAGTGATCAGGTGAAGTTCGGAGATGCCAAGGTGAGCGTTGGGGTCAGGTAAACACATGCGGGTTGTGTTACGTACCGGCGCCGGAAACTTGCCCTCGTCAGTCGGACTCGTTAATACAGTGGTATGGGATGGCAAACCAGCAGATTTCAGCTCTTCAAGCCTGGCCACTACGGGCTCGGAATTGTCGTACAAAGCCAGTCCATGGTGGAGAACGCAGCCTTCGTCACGCGGCTCTCCGTTGATCTGGAAGTTCTCGTGCTTCGGTTCTCGGAAGACGACAGGGAAAATTCTCAGAAGCAGTTTCGGTTGCGAATCAGTGGAGGTGTCCATCGGAGAACCTGCAGTGTCATCTGGTTTGTAAGCTGGCCAATACTGGCTACCGGTAAATTGGTGGTCCTCATCGTGCAAAGCCGGCATGACGGCCGTGATCATTTCACGTTCAAGACGTGCAAATCTCCATGTCTCCGCAGCGAGCTTCACAATTCGTTTCACTGCAATCTTGATACCTTCTTCTTCTCTTGGATCGGCAAAATGTTTGATGGCGTTGACGATCTCCTCTACGACCGTTCCAGCAGCAGTGTTGATGCGCTGTTTAGCACCAGAGCTCGTGAAGGCTGCAAGAAGTGTTTGTTGACGCCAGATTGCTTCTTTCCGTGTACTCTTCTCGCGAATGTGGTGGCTCATTGAAGAGAATAGCGAGTCAGCTTTGTCATAACGGCGGCCAAGACTGAACAGGAAGGGTCCAAAGACGCGGTAAGTGATGAGTTTGGCTACCGTATGAGCTATGTATGCCGCTCGAACTTGTCTGTGACGGGGTCGTCTCGTTAGTAAGCAATCTTTCTTTTGCAATCTTCTTCCTTACCTGGAAGCTATCGTGTCGCCGATGAATGAGGGTAGATTAGAAGGCACTTGTCCAAGATCCTCTGGCGGTGGTCGTACTGGAAGGTGGACAAAGTGAGTTTTCGCCAGATCGATGATTTGCCTTTGTAGATGGGTGAAAGATGTCAGGCTGTAGGTGATAAGTTAGCGACCAGCTCCATGCCAAGAAAGAAGTAATATATCGCGAGATCAATAAATGCACAGCTGCCATGATGTGAATTATGGCAACATCCAGCGAGTGCGTATAGACACTGGCGATAGAGCTGGCTGAGGGGCTTCGGTATGTTTCATGGAGCTGCAGGGGGGACTGCGGGGTACATCCCAGCTCGAGAGACCCCGTGGCACCCCCTCTGGCACGCGCAGCCATAGCAACGCGACGAACATCTGTGATGGAAAAGAAAGAAAAATGGAATGACTCACTAGTAGGTATCACCTTTGCTCTTGATCTCTGCAATGTCTCCGTAGCATTCCATCATCTTCTCTAGCCTGGACTTCTCGGATTCGAGGTTGCTGGCAACGCTCTTGATGATCTCCTTCTCTTGCTGACTCTCAGCCTTGAGCTGTTCATACTGCTTCATTAGTTCATCCTTTTCTCGCGCAAGCTCATCTGCTCTGGCTGCTTCCTCGACGGCCTTTTTGAAGATATCTGTGTGGCCTTCGGTTTGCAGGTGGTGCGTTTCCAAGAGCTCCCGCTGTTCCGCACACGTCTTCTCGAAGTAGTCACGTTCTCTGATGAGCAACTCTCGCTCGGTCGCCCAAGATTCTTGGTTGTCCTGCTCACGCTGGAGAGCTTCTTCAAGCCTTGCGCGAAGCTCAGATGCCTCAGAGGCTTCTTGTCGCCACTCGTCGGCGGCGGCCTCGGCCTTCTTCAGCTTCTTGTCGAACTGGATAGCAAGGGCAATCTTCTCGGCGTCGTGTTTGGTGTTGGTCGTAGCTTTCCATTCGTCAAAGTCCCTCCATGTTCGCTCCCTCTCCTCCGCCGTGCTCCTTTCGAGGGCACGGTGCACATCTTCCAGCTCTCTGTATCTGTCTTCCCACGACTTCATTGCTGCATTCAAGACGAGCTTTATCTCCTCGGCCTCTTGTGTTGCCTTTTTGTTTTGGGCAATCTGTTCTCGAAGGTCCCGGACTTGCTCCTCCAGGTTACCAATTTGGAAGTGTAGTCGATTTGCCTCGGCTGTATGCCTATTCTCCAAGGTGCGAATCTTCTCTTTCAGCTCAAAAATCTCACCATCCTTTGCTCTCAGCTTCTCTTCCTTCTCGGCGCCTGCTCGGCGGAGTAGGTCTTCTCTTGCGCTTAGTTGGGTGTGAGTGTCCTTGTAGCGGGCCAGCAAGGCAGGCAGGTCAGGTATGTTCTGCGCGATACGAGTGTAAGCGTCACCAGACCCGTCTTCGATGGCAGGTCGGGCTTCCAAAGCATGCAAGGGGTAGTCTCTAGAACCCGAGGAGTCCTGCTGACGATGACGATGATGAAGTGGACTGCCGTAAGGAGGATACCCTGGTGGGTATTGGCTCCATGCTTCTTGGTATGGAGAGGAGGAAGAGGGTGACGAAGGACCGTAAGGATTGGGGTTAGGGGCGGGACAACCCTGCTGACTCATACCATAGCCATGATCTGGGTAGTGAGGCGGCTGGGATGGCGGGGCATGGTAGCCAGGATGGTAATTTGGTGGAGGGGCGGGATAGGCCGGCTCGATAGGCACTCGGGATGCAAAAACGCTACGTGGTTGATGCGGGCCTAAGTGGGCCCTCGACACTTCATGCGCTTCACCGCTAAATGGGCGCCCAGGCGCTACCCCATTTGGTATTAGACTGTATTCTGAGTCGTCGTCGCTGTCAAAAGTAGGAGCATGCCTACAGGGAAATGCGTGGTCAGCCAGCCAGCTCGTCAAGTTTGTTAGTGATTAGGCCAGTCCGGCGTTTGGCAAGACGTCACATTACAGTGAGGACCGTGAAGTGGTGTTGGCCGGAGAAGAGCCGAACAACGTGGCTGGAGAACAAGGGAAAAAGGGACTGCACTACATACCTTGGCCGTACCCTGCTCATGGGTGGACTCGGTGCAGCTGGTATGTCATCCTCGAGAAAATGGGAGACTGAGTAGGGTTTTGGCGGATAGTTGGGACCCGCTTCCTGCGTTCGAAGCTTCCGTGCATGTGGCGCAAAAGATCGGAACGATCTAAAGGGTCGATCAGACTGGCTTGGAGACCGGTCGTGTGCACGATAACCAGCCGACGGAGGCGTCCGAGCGCGTGGTAGTTCATCACCTGGCCACCGTTCCTGAGCCGGTGAGGATGCCATGGGACGAGATCCCACGCCGTTGGGTCCTCGAGCACGTGATGCTTCTTCAATAGCCTTTCGTGCAGCCTCGACTTGGTCAGCTTCCTTCTGGGCACTTGTGGTGCCACTTGCAGCCATCCGAGCCTCCATATCCCTTCGACGTTGCTCCATTCTCTCCCGCTGCATCTGCTTATACTCGAGTTGCTCATTCTCCCTCTTGGCCCGCTCGGCAAGCGCAGCCTTTTCAATCTCATCTTGAGCCTCAGTGGCACGTATTTCTTGTTCCATCAGAGCGAGAAGCCTCTTGGCCTCTGTGACTTGCTCTAGAGTCTCTCTCTCGATTCTCTCGCGGATGGCGCCTTCCTGCTGCTTTGTTTCGGACGCTTCCTGTGCTTCGGTCATGGTGTTGGCTTCTTCATGTGATTGTTCGGCTACTCCATCAGCTTCTGCCTCGTCTCGAGCCTGTTTCATGTGTATCTTTTGCTTGAGCTCCTTTAGTAGTTCTTTGGCCCTAGTTTCCTCATTTCTTCTTGTTTCTTGTTCAGAACTCTCTTGATCCGGCTTCTCTTGGTGATTTCCTTGCCGGTGAACCTCGGCGTCGTTTTGTGGAGCGTCCTGGACAGCCTCAGGAGGGAATCCGTTCACTTCTCTTGTCTCGTGTTGCTGGACTTGGTCATTCTCTACTGCTTTTTCCTCTGGATGATTGGATTCTTGATGTGCTGGGGGCGTCTCCGGAAATGGAACAGGAGCTTCAGGCATTTCGTCCTGGGAAAATACTACGGGCACTGTGGCTGACTCGACAGTACGCTCTTCTAAAAATTCGTCTGCAGGTGTCTCCATCTGTACAGTATGCTCTTCTGAAGCTTCATCTGCAAGTGACTCAGTCTGCACAGGTGGCGCCTCGGGAAGTTCCCGTGGTATTGGTTGCTCCTCGGGCGCGTCAAAAGGCTCATCATTTGGTGGGGTTTCCGCATCATTGTCGATATCAGGAAGAGACTGAGGCTCTAGTTGTTGAGCTGATGGTGTTTCTTCGGCTGGCTCGCTATCAGAAGGTGGAGCAGCAATATCTGCCGGCTCAACTGGCTCAGGCGTCTGTGGTTCAGGAGCGACAGGAGCCGTGGGTGGCATGGGAGCAGTGAAATTCAGCGGCTGAGGATATTCTGGGCGCTCTTCCCCCATAGGTGTTAAGAATTCCTCCTCTTGAACATCTGCCCCTTGGGCATCGGTGGGAATGCTCTGTGCGAAATCGTCTTGTTCCACTTCAGACGCCATGGCAACAACAGGTTCGTCTGGGGACGCCGTATCTAATCGCGGCTCTCCCGGTGAATCTGGGGCTTGGGCGAGGTCTGGGCTTGGAAGCACGGTTGTGGAGGTGAGATCTTGGATTGGCTGCATGGCGTCTGGCTCTTGTTGCAGAGGCGGCTCTTGGTCTGGAATGGACCCTGCTTCTAGATAGTAATAGTCGTCTAACTCATCATGTAAAGAGTGGTCGTTTTGATTGGCGGCCGGCTGAATCTCCTCAGCGTTGTCGTTGGCTATGTCGGACAGTGTGGCTTTTGCGGGTGCAGGTTGGGGTTCAAGCTGGCGTGGTGCGTCCATGAGTGGATCTTGTTGTGTGGCAGATGTGCTTTCAGCAGCTAATGGAGCTGCAGCCCTGTGGGGATTAGACTGTGAACTGTCGAAGAGAGTTGAGGATGCAATTGTGGACGTTTCCAAGTGCTTGGGAATGGTCGGCTCCAAGGGCTCCACTCTGGCAGCGGATAGCACTGACTGCTCCCCGGACATTGCATCCGTGGCTGGCGGCTCTGCTGGCATTTGGATTTCAAGCGCGTCAGCGACTGGCTCCCCCCGTGTTGGTTGGCACAATGTCAGGTGGAGACGCAGACTCCACTGGTTTCTGACTCTGCTCTGCTGCTGCTGCTGCTGCTGCTGTTGGTGTTGATGTCGCTGGTTTTCTTTCTTGTTGGTTATGACTACCGCTGACTACGGAAGAAAATTATTTACAGCCCAGAGCCCACAAGAAAAGTCCCAAACTGATCAATGTCCCTCTCACCTCTCACCGAAGACGCGGGCACTTGCAAATAGAGGGCTGTGTGCTTGTGAACATGGCATAATGGCAGAAAATTGAGCAAAACGACGACTGCGCACGCGCATAAGAAGTATATAAAGGCGCCAATGCAAAGTCGGAACTACGATGGTACGGAGTGAAAAGGCGGTGCCGGCCAATGGACGAGGGGCAGGGAACTGCCAGCTCATCGACAATCTGAGCGGCCCAAGGCTGCTGCGCACCGATTGTTACGGCTCCCAGCCACCGCGGGCGGCTTCGAGTATGTCGGGGTCGAGTGCTTGGTATGTCGGCCGTGTGGTGGGTGTCTATGTGGGCATGTGTGTACGGGCATCATCATCAGCAGCAGCACAATAGCCAGCAGCGGAGAGACGAACCGACATTGGAACGAGGCGGCTACTACGGCCTCTCTCTGTACTTGCGACGAAGCAGAGCGGTGCAGCGAACCGATGGGTGCATGCCAGTTGAGGACAAGGGGGGAGTGCATCATTGTGCGTCGTGTTGCTAGCTGCATGCCAGCCTCGACATCTCAAGGGCGCTACATGGATGGTTGCAGCGGTGTGGGTGAAGGTGCAGAAGCAAAGATGCGCTGGCAGCAGAGGCAGAATTGCCGCCCCACCCTGCCTGCCTGTCTGCCTGCCTTAGCGCGCCTCGGCCTCTATTCCTCCCTCCACCCTCCCACCCTGCCCACGACGACACAGCGACCCAGACTCGCTCCCACGCCCGCTCTCACTTGTGCGACAATGCTGCCCGGCACCCACCACTTGTCCATATCCAGCGATTGGGCGCAAACATGGCCAGGCTGCGGTCGGCCCGGAACAAGCCCGTTGTGCTCTCGTCCGACTCCGAGCAGAGCGACTCCCTTTCACCGCCTCCCGCTGCTCGCAAGGGGCGCGCACTAACAAGCATCCCCTCTGCCTCGCATACACCCAGTCAGACCACGAGGCCGACCCGGTCACGCACACGTGCTGCCTCTCCAAATCCATCCGAGCAATCCACTACTAATAACAAGTCGCCTGCAAAATCCCCTGCCAAGCAAAGGCCCGTCTACAAGCCTATAACGTCCTTCTTCACCACCGTCGCCCGCTCCCAGTCATCCCAGCCCACTCCTAGCCCGGAGAAGCCAGCTGCATCAGTCGAGGACTTTGACGACATCTTCGATTCCGACTATGACGAGGACCAAGCAAAGCCAGTCAAAGTATCCAATGCGCTTCCTGTGCGCAAACGGCCCATTGCCGCAACAGCGCCAACTGACCATGGCCCAAATGTGATTGCACGCCAAAAGTTCCTGCGAACAGCAACCGGGACCCGGAGCACGCCTCCTCCATCGTCATCTTCCCAGCCAGCACGGCGGGATGCCGAAGATGGCCGGCCATGGACCGAAAAGTTTGGCCCCGTATCCCTTGATGAGCTTGCCGTGCACAAGAAAAAAGTAGCAGATGTCCGCACATGGCTGACTGATGTCTTGAGTGGCAAATCGCGAAAAGGATTATTGTTGCTCAAGGGCCCCGCTGGCAGCGGAAAGACCACCACCATGGCCCTGCTATCCAAAGAATTGGATATAGACATGCACGAGTGGAAGAACCCCACTGGTGCCATGTCGACCTCCGACAGTCTCATCTCCATCACCGCTCAGTTTGAAGACTTTGTTGCGAGAACTGGCACCTTTGGAAGTCTGACCTTTGATACGCAAGTATCAGCTACCCAGACGGCTTCGCCTGCCACTCAAGCCGGTAGGAAACAGCAGCTGGTCCTAGTAGAGGAGTTTCCCAATACATTCACACGTACTTCGTCGGCCGTCCAGTCTTTCCGCTCTTCCGTCCTCAAGTATCTTGCTGCAAACACGCAGTCAGCCACTGCTTTCTTCTCAAGTCAAGCCGATTCCACATCCTCAGTGACACCAATTGTTATGATCATCTCTGAGACACTCTTATCCACCAACACGGCAGCAGCAGACAGCTTTACCGCCCATCGTCTCCTGGGTCCTGAGATTTTGACTCATCCTGGAGTGAGCGTTGTCGAGTTTAATCCAATTGCACCCACATACATGACGAAAGCGCTGGACACAATTATTCTCAAAGAGGCCAGGAGGTCAGGTCGAAAAAAGACCCTGAGTCCACAGGCTATCCAGCGCCTTGCCGAGCTTGGTGATATCCGGAGCGCAATCTCATCGCTCGAGTTCTTGTGTCTACGTGGCGACGATGCCGAGGGCTGGGGCGCCAAGGTCAATTTCACAAAGAAGAAGACGGCCAAAGATACCCCCATGACCAAAACTGAGCAAGAGTCACTCGAGATGGTGACACAGCGGGAGAGTACTCTGGGTATTTTTCACTCGGTAGGCAAAGTTGTTTATAATAAACGTATCCCGGAAGATCCCAAAGCACCACTGGCGCACCCACCAAATTGGTTTCCCGAACGACGAAGACCAAAAGCTTCCGAAATCAATATCGATACTCTTATCGATGAGCTAGGAACCGATACGCAGACCTTTGTTGCAGCATTGCATGAGAACTATGTCCTATCTTGTGGAGGTGCAGACAGTGAAGAAACCATGGATTCCATCGAAGGGTGTATAGACGCTCTCTCTGACGCTGATCTTCTTTCTCCAGATCGCTTTGGTGCTGGGGGTGGCCGCAGAGGTTTCCAAGGGACAAGTGCGGACAACCTGCGCCAAGATGAAATGTGCTTCCAAACGAGTGTACGAGGCCTGTTGTATAACCTGCCACATCCCGTAAAGCGAATGGCTCCCCCTCCAGGCATCATGGGACTCAAAGCAAAAGGACAGCGGTTGAGTAGTGGCATGCCCAAAGGCAATGCATTCGTCATGTACTACCCAGCATCGCTGCGGATATGGAAGCAGCAGGAGGAAATTGGTGGCCTATTGGATATGTGGGTGTCGCGCGCGCAACGCGGTGAACTTTTCTCAATCGCGTCAGGCGCACCAAAAGCAGCGGTTCCCAGTGGAGGTGTACACACATGGAGAAGGAACGGTCCATCGTCCCAACCAGCGGCGACGCAAGGCTCAGACCCTAGCGGCGACGACGCATCAGCCCCGCCCCTCCTTGGAAGTGGCGGTTCAGCCCGCTACGAGATGCTCCTCGAGCGCCTCCCTTATCTAGTCACTATCCTCTATAAATCCCGCATGCCATCTCCATCAACATCCGCCACAGTACGCGAGATTCGCAAAATCACTGCTTTTACCGGGGGTGCCCTATCCGGCGGTGACGACGACGACGACGACGACGAATTAGAAGACGAGCTTGACCCAGGCGAACAGGAGCAGTGGACTACGGATAAACCCGCCGCAGAAACGCCCAAGAAGAAGAAAAGGGCGAGGTTCGAGACCAAAGCCCAAGAGCCTGAATCGGCAATATCAGGGCTTTTGGATAAGAGTGCGGGTTTGGTATTGAGTGATGATGATATCGAGGATTAACGGGGGATGTTGTGAGATGGAAGACATGTAGTGTATAATGTAACCTTTACAAAAGCGCCAAGTCATGTAGATGGGGATGGTACTATTAGCATTTAAATCAATTCGGTCAATGCGAATGGAGATTCAAATCATGTTCAGAACAGAATAGCCAGGCCAACAACACTCCCCAACCAGCCTGGAATCGGGGTATTTATACCAATAATAAACACCGTAATGCAACTCTCCTGTTCTCTTTTTTTGTTTTGGTAAATCCCCATATAAACAGCATTCCACTCAATCCCCCCTGGCCCCCCAACCAATTCAACTGAGCGTACCTTGCGTCTCTCTGATACTTTCTCCTTCCGCTTTATTCTCGAATAGTTACTTCTACCACCCAACCCCACGAACCCCCCTTCAATCTCCTCCTCTCTTTTTTTGGCATCTTGCTTTTCCGGAACCTTTTCCCCCTTGTCTCCCGCGTAGATCTCGCTTTCCATTCTTTTTTTGATTCCTTTTTTTTCTTTATCCGCGGGAAGGGGGGGGGCGCGGACTTGATACTTCTATTTTGAGCGGGGGAGGAGGTTGGATGTCATGGTCTGAGCGTTCCTCCTTTCCTACCCCCCCTCCCCCCTCTCCCCCGGGTCAACCCCCCATACTTTATTTAATATTTTTTTTTGTTTAATAAACTCTGAGCGCAACTGCGACTGTGCGTTTGAACCAAGAATAAAAAAAATTTGTTTCCCCTCCCGAGGAAATTCGGAGATGGGGATTTACGGTTGCTGTTGCTGGAAGGAGTATGTGGGTTCGTATATGCATGGAGTTGTTTGCGTCATTGGTTTATGCATTGAAAGGGAAAAAAGAGGCCGGAATGGGACCGTGATAAAGGGAAAAACACATCACAATGGGGATTAAAAGAATGGTAGCATAAAGTTGGACCAGATTGGGGTAAAAAAGATTGAATCGAATGATATTGTTTCAAGGATGCTGGAGACCCCAAAAGAGCTAGTCTAAAAAAGAACAACATCATGGAATGGTATCTAACAAGAAGCGAACAGATGTTTGTCGTAAAATCGTCATTTGCATGGTCTGGAAAAGGTGGGAAGAACCACCATCATGCGTATGCTTATCGTTGAGAGAGAGAGAGAGAGGAGAAAAAACTTTTTCTCGTGTTTAAGCAGAGGCGTAGACTTGTCCAGCAGGGGAGAGGCTGCCACCATCGGCACTGATGAGGAACTGGTTACCGTCGCTGGGGGCAGCCATGTGGTAAGCGTAGCGCTCGATCCAAGGCTGGGCATCGAGCCAGGGAAGGACGTCCTTGAGGAACTCGTCGGCGTTGCCCTCGGTGACACCAAACTCAGTGACCCAGACGGGCTTGTTGAAGGTATCGTGGAACTTGTTGAGGTAGTCCTTGAAGTCTTGGGGCTTGGCCCAGGCGTAGTAGTGAGTGACGACGAAGTCGATCTGGCAGTCGCTGCAGCCGTCCATGAAGGACTTGAGCCAGTTGATGCCCTTGCCGGGCTCGTTGCCGTTGGTAACAGCGGGGGAGCCAATGCGGAGACCCTCGTTGGCAAGGGGCTGGATGAGCTTGCGGTGGGTGTCGACGGCAGTGCCAACGTCCATGTTGGAGCCTCCTCCACCGACCTGGTCGGGCTCGTTGAAGCTGAGGATGTGGGAGACCTTGTAGTTCTTGCGGGCGTTGGCAACGTTGTTGGCCCAGGTTGAGGCGCACCATTCCTGGTTGGAGTGGAGCAGAGGAACGTATTCTAGGTCGGGAGCATCGCCGTCGATGACGGCTTCCCAGTCATACATCCAGAAGATCTTGGAGGACTGGGCCATCATGCGAGCCCACTGGGAGCCGGCAACGCCATTGTGCTGCTTGGGAAAGGCAATACCACGCTTGCCTCCAGCGCGGGGGAGAAGAGGGGAAGCCTCAGTGAGAGCGGAGAGGCCAGCAAGGGCCATGATGAAGGTCGAGGTAAGCATTTTCGAAGGAGTGTGATACCTGATGGGTCCTAGAAGGAATGTGGGGTGCTAGCAAGAGCGTGGATAGACAAAAAATGTCAAAAAAGAGAGACTGAGTTGCTGGAGTGCTGAGCTGGAGTGAATATCATGAACCGGGGGCCATGTCGATACTTATACTAAGGTAGCGAAATGAGAATGGGACAAAGAAGCCTTGTTGACAATGCCCAGAAAGGGCCCACCACGGATGCGGGCAAGCAACACATGGCACAAGCTATGTTTGCCCAGATGCGGTGTTTCATCCAAGACTTGGTGCCGACTCGGAAAGAGAGAGTCCACACGTGCGATAAGATTATGGATCAACTCTCCCGCACGCCCCGTCAGCCCGACGTCACGGCGTCGGCTGTGGGGTCTAGCCATTCGTCAATCACGATAGGGCTGCGATGGCTAAGACTTTGTGGAAATTGCATTTTGGTACAGTCGTCGAATCACGACAGCAACGGTGCACTGTTACCGGGCAAGTTGCTGGAGCCACGTAGAGTTCCGCGGCATATGCACGAAGAGAAAGAAAAAAAAAAGGCTTTTCACCACCTTCTGTGGGTTTGCTCGGGGAAGAAGAGCGTTGAGAGGGGCCTAACGCAGGAACCCTTGTCTAGATCAGAGGGTGCCTACGCAGGTACGGCCGCAGCAACGATGTTTGGTAATGGATTCCGACGTGGAAAAGATTCTGGCTGGCCGTCTAACCCACACAGCGTACCTTAGCGGTGCCCACCAGTCCGTTTCAGGAAGTACTTTGTCCGGCAAAACCAACGTCCCGTGGCTGATCCTACTATCTTTTGAGTTTGCAAGCCCACCACGCCTTACCACGCACGCCATGCTCGATGCTGTCATCCAAACCATCGTCGTAGTCCCGGTCCCCGAACTACCACTACAGCTGTCAGGCCCCCATTTTTTCCTTCCTGCACCCACTGTGGCCAGGCATCACGAAAATCTGTTTTTGCGTTTTGAAAGGTGCATACGCAATCTCACCTGCTCTCTGTACATGCCAAACATAGATGTACGAGATCAGTATTACCAAGACTGCGTCGCTGGGCCATGATCTCCCGCTAACTCCAGTTGACTCGGGCGCTTGGGAGGGGATTCGGGCGACAGCTCAGCGGCACGCCTTCGTTCCCTTCCGGCGTTTACGTGGCGCTCTCAACACAGCTGAAGGATGTGTTTCCCTGCTCGCCATATCGACGTCTGGATGCGTGAGTGATATCACAGTGGGGGTTGGCATGGTCGAGAACTTTGGACGGTGTGCATGCGCGGTGACTCGACTATGCGTATCGTATTACTGACGGACTTACGTCTTCTCTCTTGGATCGTGTACTTGGCACACGAGTGACGACCGTCGGACTCCTAAGGCGCTGCTGCCAGGTACACCCTTTGCCGATCGGCACATCCAGGCCCTCGGCCCGTTTGACACCAAACCTCTTTGCTTCTTTGTTCATTTCGAGGCGCTTGCGTTGTTCGTACCTCCACTATCCGGCGCCTAGAAGCGCCTGACTCGTTCTCTACCAAGTACCTACCAATACCCTCGACTTGGGATACAGCACCAGAGACACTCGGTCCCGCCAAAATTCGCGCTGAGGCTAGAAGGCACCGGAATTTTTGGCGAACGCCCAGACTGTTTTTCGCCAAAGGGGCCACTCGCGCCTCCACTACCGACGCCATTTTCTTGGTACAAAAGCTACGCTGCACTAATACATCTTGGCCCGATTCCCCTGAAGATGTTTTGTTGGGCATGAATAGGAAGGTCGGGGCGAGCGGATACGTACTCTAGATACACGTCTCGAAAGAGAAGGGCCGAAGCAATCCCATACGGTATGGGCCAGGAACGATGTGGCGATGCAATGCAACACCAGCTTCAGGAAGCGAGGGGGGCAATTGTTAAGCCACGTGCTTATCTACGTAGTATGGTACGCCTTTGCTGGCGGTATACTTGCGCATATGTACTCTGGGTAGACTGTAGAGCACGTGCTCCCCAGTGCACCCCGGCTCCTACTTCGATATATTCCATTTACGCATATTCAGCGTTTAATGAGAGCCATGCAGCATGCATGTACGATATCTCCTGTCATCTTTCCAAGCCCGAGTTGAGAAACAACAGTATGTCCGGGCTGCCGGGGCGGTGTCCAAACGTACGCGTCTTCCAAGCCGCGTCATTACAACGACCCAAGCACTATAACACGAAGCTGTTATTATCTATACGACGGTTTTGGAACCACCCAAACTCCACTGCCAATGCATACGACGCTGGGTGCGTGCTGTCTTGCTGTGCGATGCGGTCAGTGACTCGTATGCTGTACTGCGAGTATTTAGGTCAGTCTGTATCGCGTCTGTTTTTTTGAAAAACAAAGTAACTATAGAGCTCGCAACAACAAAGTGTTGATGACTACATAAGGTTTGTTGGGGTGGCGTGTTGTTTGCCAAGTCGTGCTCCTGTCAGGCCATATTCTTGACCATTTTGAGGATTCGCGACCGAGACGAGGCGGCAGCGAATCACCCGAATCCTTCTTCCACTGCCTCTCACTGTTCTATTCAAACATCGCATACTCTATTCTAGGATACTCAAGTCTAGATTATGGAGCTGTAATGCGCTTGCGTTACAGGCGCCCGTCACCAAATATAAAACGGGTAGTATTTATAGGACTTCGCCCCCACGCACTCAGCGCTTAATATCGATGAGTGGGAATCCACACACTACATTTGCTACCTTTCTTCTTTTATCAGTTACAGGAAGGGAACCTGTATACTATAAGTACCAATGGGATACAAAATCCTTCATTCACAAGCACGAATGCCTTCACCTTGCACATCTTCCCATTTTATGGGCTCGACAACCATAGCCCCAAAGCAAATGGAACCCAAACTAGTGGGAAGTATCAACTTCATAATGTAGTCATCTACATACTATGATTCCTTTTTTACATAGTCATGCATTTGGTTGCTATATAGCTTTGAATATATAGAGTTGTGTAAGATACAGAAAATGCAGATTCAGAAAATAAACAGTAGTCAAAGACGAGGAAGAAGAAGACTCTGAAGAATCTTCTCTCCAGAGTCAATGCTCAAAAACCTCCAAGCTGTAGTAATCGGAAAGTTAAAGTCAAAAATTTCAAGAGCGTTCCCCAATACTTCATCTTGAATGTAGGAAGTCGGGATGCCTAGTTTCTATCCTTTATTTTTTTTATTTCTTACACCCTACATTTAACAAGGAAGACATTACAAAAGTGCTTAATCTACATCATGTCTCGTTTTTGTTGTAGTGAAGCTGTATTGTACAGTCACTACGTAGGCAGGTAAACCTAGATAGAAAAAAGTCTCTAAATGCATTTAGAAGAAAATTGGCATTAAGTGCTACTGCATTGTTAGATAATATGTAAGACTTGGAGATGAAAATTGGTCATGGACTTGATGGTACGTTGGCTCAACAAAGCTTAAGAGGTATGATGATGATGTAAAAGAGCATCCTATTACTCATTGAATAAAGGGGTTTGGGATGGACAGGGTAATGTTGCGTATGGCTGCGCAGATATTTCCTACATATAATTCCCATTGACATGAAGTAATTTTATGGGTCTGATTGACTTCGTAGGGTGAGAATGACGGCGAGAAACGAATTGTAAGCAACAACGTGAAGTAAACATTGATACAAAAGCAAGGTGTACATTGCAGAGAAGAGAAAGCAATAGCAACAGTATTTAGAAACAAGCAACACAGATGACCTTACCAAAGAGAGAAATAAATCACGAGAGATGGGCATACATAATATGACAATATACCTACTATTGTACCATGCTTGCTAGTAGTATACACAACAAAATTCAACACAAGGAAAAAACAAACAAACAAACACACATCAAGCATAAACATCTCATTTCATGTCTACACAAGCAGATAATCTACTCGCCCATGATACCGCTCATAAACGCTATTACGCCAAAACAGACACCACCCATGCAAGGATATCGAATATCTAGTGCTCAAATCCCTCCCTGACCCAGTGACGCCCAGTAACAATGCACACGCACACAACCAACCAGGGAAGCGCGCTCAAGACCCGCCCTTTGGAGCCTGGTAATGCTCGACATAGTTCCAAGGGACTGCCGTCATTTGGACGTAGCGGCCTTGCTTGGGGTCGTACACGGCGCTCACGTTGAGCGTCAAGCGCGCGCGGTCACCGTAGATTTCTATGAGAGCTCGTACAATGAATGCGCCGCGGGGAGGTTGCAGTACAATGGGCTTGTATGTTTTGGCAAAGTCGGCACGGAATTGAGTCAGGTCTAGCGTCATGCTTTTTGGGTCGGGGAGGTCGAAACCTATGCTTGCGGGGCCGTCGACGGGGGCTGGTGAGGGTGAGGCACCCGGTCGCTGGGTATCATTTGCAGAGGCCGAAAAGGGGTTTGGGGCTATGCTCGTGGATTCGCCCGTGGACTGACGGTTTGTGGAGATGCGTTGGAAGAGTTCCTGGACGGTTTCTGATTTTGATTCTTGGTCCCAGCCCATGTAGATTTTAAACGTCTTCCATGCCTTTTCTGCCTTTCTTGTCGTGTCTTTGTACAAAGCATCTGTGGCTTCTTTCGGATACAATACTCTCTCCAGGCGCCGGTGGTGGGCGTCTTCAACTGGGCGTGTCGCCTTGCGCCATTCCAGATTTTCAGTGAGCTCGATGCCTGGGCGTTCGTACTCTATTGGTGGGCCATTCGGGAACTGGATTTCCACCCATGACATGCCCTTTGAGGTATCAACCTTGCCAACGCGAGATGTGAACACTGCCTTCTTCTGGGCATTATTGCGCACTATGCTTATCAACTCCGCTATGGTGTTGTTAGTGACGAGTGATCACTCCTTCACCAAGTCCTACTTACTACGTATCTTAGTCGCTCTTTCACGGTTGGTGGCTATCTCTTTAAACGTCTTCCACTCTGCATCTGAGCCTTTATAGAATGTCCTTGGCCGTGGTCGCGAGAAGCCCGTGGGTATGAATAGAATGGCGTCATCGTCCTCTTCTTCTTCATCGTCTTTCTCAGAGCCAGCCACTTCCCACCCGTCTTGTCTGCCTTGTTCTTGTACCTCTTCAACCTCGACTTCTAGGCCCAAGTACTGGACAAGGCCGTAGGCTGCGGCAGTGACGGCGACTGTGCCAACGAGACGTCTGCAAAGTGAATCAGCATGTGGCGGGAGTGGACTTGTGAGAATGCTCACGTCTTGCTAAAGAAAGGCCGGCGTATACGCACTCGCTGGATTATGATGCTGTCGTGGCCATGGCGGGCGGCCGATCGCACTATGTGAGAATGAGGGACCCTGTTCAAGAGGGAGAAGTTGCGCCGAAGCATCAGTGGCCTGGACATGGCAAGCAGAGATTATGGGAGAAGTGAGTGACAAGAAGCGACATGAAGGCGCAATGTAGACTCAAAAAATGCAGGTCAAGTTTGCTGGACAAAGAATAGAGTGCATGTTGTGGACAAATGGTGCTCTGGCTATAGGCGTGGGCGATAGGCTCGGAGGCGTCCAAGGCAAGTTCCGAGATCTGGGTCTCAGCTTCCCCGGCGACTGCATCATCGCCGCCGCAGCATCGAATCTCTCCAACCCCAACCCATCACCCACGATGAAGCTATCCGGGGCCTTTTTCGCCTCATCACTATCCTGCGCCGTGCTTGCAGCTCGGCCAACCGTCAGCCCAGAGACTGCGCGTCTTATCATCGCCCAGCGCCTGGGCCTGTCGCGATTCCACTCACTCGAGCATGCAGATGCTGACACCATTCACCACATCAACACGTACGGAGGAAAGCGACAGCCGCTGTTTGGAGCAGATGCTACAGACGTCTCCAAGGCGCATCTGCTAGTCTGGGCAGAGGATGCCGACCAAGATGAACCAACAGGTGGGCAGAGGCAACGGCCAACACGGCCACGGAGAGCTGCCGGCTAACTCGAGCTTGCAGTCATCATCAACGACGGATCAGATCGCACACTAGACTTTTCTATATCCGGCGCGCCCTCTGCATCTGACAACGACCGCCTCATCCACGACTTTATAGTGCAGGCCGAGTCGCTGCCAGAACACCCAGACCCCCAGCAGCGAACATACAAGTCCAACTTTGAGATTGAATCGGCGCTTCCCCCAAAGACCAAGTCAAAGGCCTACAATGGCTACCTCAACATGTGGCGCATCGACGAGAGCTCCAAGATGACGACCGAGGAGCTCGCCCAGGTGCTGAGCAACGTCAACAAAAAGGCAGAGGAGGCTGGTTTCTCCACAACCATAGTCATGATGCCGCGCTCGTCCAAGTCCAAGTCCAAGCGTGCTGCCAACCCCTGGGGCACCTACGATGTCCCTGCCATGGAGGCGCGTCGCCAAAACCCGGAAGCCGTTCTCTCCGCCATCCCCTCGACCTCAAAGGTTCCAGTTCTTGAAGATTTCCCTACCATCGCCCAGGCCGACAGCAGCGAGGACAAGAAGGGACCCGTGCGCGGCATCCTCCCCGTCTGCTTCAAGTCGCTAGACGCTTGCCAAAGCCAGACTCACAACTGCTCCAGCCATGGCGAGTGCACGCTCCTCCACAAGGGCCGCGGATCTGGATCCAACCAGGAGACGGTCGACTGCTACGGATGTGCCTGCAAAGCTACAGTTGAGCATGTGGGCGAGGACAAGGGCATGGAATCAAAGAAGAAGGTGACTTACTGGGGAGGCCCCGCCTGCCAGAAGAAGGACATCTCTGTTCAGTTCTGGTTGTTTGTCGGCAGTGGTGTCATTCTGGCATTCCTCGTCTCTGCCGGTATTGGCATGCTTTACTCAATGGGTGCTGAGGAGCTTCCCAGCGTCATTGGTGCCGGTGTTAGCGGACCCACCGCGAGGAAGTAGAAAACTGGAGTGTAAGAGATGAAGTGTACGGAATGAAGTTAGTAAGGAATGAAGTGTAAGAGACGGAGGTGTAAGTCGACGAGGATGAATACAGAGCAAGAGGGGGCGGCAGAGCTGTACAAGTTTTGGCTTTTATACATGGTGTATCAGAACCATTGGTTAGGATGGCAGAGCGTAGTAGCATGTACTCTATGGGATCATTGGCGTTTGGTAGTAGTGCAATCAACATTTGAGCAAGTTAAAAAACATGGTATTCGCGCCTATGACGCCGTTGTGTGCAATCGTCTAAACAATGCGCCACCCGAATGCTGGAAAACGCCAAAAGCCTCATCCCTCATCCCCACTGTCCCTAGAAATGTACTCGAATTAGGGCTTGAAGTAAGTATACCGTGACGTGCAAGGCACTCAATTCTTGCTCTTCTCCACCATTACACCATCCTCCTCGCTCTTCGCCTTCTCGTCATCCAACTCCTTCATGAACTCTGACTGGATGCCAGCCCGGCGGTTCTCCCACCACTCCTTCTCAGCGGGGGCTTTTGCCTCAATTTCAGCCAGACGCTCGCGGATGTGGTTGTTCTGGGCCATTTCAGAAGCGGATTGGAAGATGGTCTGGCCCCAGTTTGGTGCGAATGCATTGGCCTGTAGATTGTCAGTTTACATGCGGCATGTCGCAAATGCATTGCGCAAACTCACCTCGTTGACAACGTCTCTGAGCTCTTCTTCTATTTCCTTCTCAGCGCGCTGGAACCTCTGCCACAAATCATCGCCCACACTACCCCTCTGCAACAGGACCTGGAGCGCCTGCTTCGCATTC